TTTTTAAAAACCTCTACAAAAAGTTCCAAAAACTCTTGCAGAATACAACTCAGTAACTCAAATTTTAAAATTTCCATCTGCGATCGTGAGTTGAGCGACCATGATGAGAATCACGTACATCGTCAGTTCGCCCGAGGTTTCTGCCTCTCGAATCATTTGTATCATATTTCCACCTGAGTGGCCTACTCTGTGTCCACTGCCATGACCCATGTTGTCATCGGTACTTTTAAAATCAAGTCACAAACTGTATTTTTCTTTCAGGTATTCGGCCATATCAACACCCGCCAAATTGAGGTCTTTTGTACCGCTCGCCCTGATTCTGTTTGAGAGTCACCAAAATACTTGCTAGCTTCGTTCCAGTATTGGTATTTGTACAGTCTTTGCAAATAAAGTTGGTTGGGTTGCCTTCTGCCGTTAGTGATGTGTTGGTTGAAAAAACTTGGGGGGTTTTTGACCTTGGGGTCTTTGAAAAGGATGAACTCGCCTTTCAAGCTTCTAACTGGTTGGTTAATGACCATGTTCCAGAGGGTATCTGTTTTATTATATTCTCCAACAAGTGCATTCAAAAAGAAAAAGCTTCAAAGCAAACCTTTACAAATTTGGATGAAGCGTTGATGGTATACAGTGAAATCACTGGTACCAACCACTTGGGACTTCCACCAGAGCCCACGTTGAGTGATTTTTACACACCAAAGGACGATCAAAAAGAAAGTGATCTCGTGTTTGTGTCAGGTGGAAGTGCCCTTTTGGGTTATCTCGTTTATCGATACTGGTGAAAGGTAGTTTAGTGGGGTCTTTTTACTTCAACCGTTTTCCTTCTTTTTAAAGAGAGAGATGCAAGAGCAAACAAAGCTCAACGAAGTTTAGCTAAAACTTTGAAAGAGGTTTACTACAGCCTTAGAGGTTATTGGAAAGGAGAGGGAGCTGTGAGACACGAGAAAACCGGTATCGATAAGAGCGTAGTAAGAGCCTGGTTAGCGAAACAAGCCATTTGGTAAATTTATCTACCTTCTCTGGGGTACATACCTAGACTGTGAACTTTACAAACATAGTTTGCTAAACCTAATGACACGCACCAAATGGACATGTTGTATTTGCCCTGGGATCGTGTGCAACGACGTACTTACAAAATACGCATTAATGGTGGTTGACATGGCTTCTAGATATTAGAAGCAGAACTTTTACAGCAGATGCTGTAAAATGAATTTTTTTACAGATCTCTGTTGAAGTTCCCTCGGCAAGAACAAGTAGACTCTGCTTTTGAATTTAAAGGCAAGTTAAAAAAAATGCTCTTCAGGAAGGGCGTCCAAGTGCTCGTAGGTTAGCCGGGGGTTCATTGATTGTAAGGGATTGTAGAACAATTTAACAGAACTCTGGCCGAAAGATTGTTTGGTCATCAGTATGCAGAAGAAATTCTAAATCCAAGTGAGCAAAATGTGGAATGTGTTACAAGGTTGCCCCGAGGCGTGAAAGCTCTAAACAAAGAAAAACCCATTTGATCCGAGAACGAGCAAGGACGAAAGTCCTTTGGAAGTGATTAAGCTAGATCGAATAAAACAGTTGGCAGCTGTACCCCAGAGAGCAGAGTGGGTAGAGCTTCCCTCAGATGTCCTGGTCTGATACTTGTATTACCCAGGTAAACAAGAAGGTGGCACAATTGGGAGAGTGACCAGTCCTATTTGGAATGTAGAGATACATGTATATCAGATCGATAAGCATACTAGTCAGTTCAAACGGATTAACAGTAAAACGTAACAATGGGTCCAACGCTGTATTACCTGACTGACGGGCCCAAGCGTTCTTTTGTGCGAGAAGAGCTTCAAGTGGTACCTGAAGACACCGCGTTACTGCCTGGTTCTGCTTAGGCTTGAGCTTAAGTTGTGAGTGAGCACAGTGAGCGAGTTGTTCTGTAGTGATCATATCTATCCCGTTGAACAAAATGTATCGCTTGGTATCTAGCGGATCTTTGTCTGATTTAATTAGTCGCTGCTCGTTAATGATTTTAGATTTGTTAAAGAGACAGTCTTTATAAGATTCGTGGGTTAGATCTCTATCGGTAACAAGTTTAGTGACCCCTTTTGGCTTTCTTGAGCACGTGCTAGCTGTGCTCGCTAGCTGTGCTCGCTAGCTGTGCTTGCCTATTGGATACTTCTTGGGCCTGATACAGACAACTTCTGATAAAACCTGCCCACCAAATTCATCTTAAAATTTCCCAATGACTTTTTTGTTTGCTTGGCTTGCAAGTGGATGAGCTTTTGGGTAGTTGCTCAAGTTGATCTTGGATCTGCACTAGATCCTTGTAGAGATCGTTAGTTTGTAACTCACACAGCAAACTGTCGGTATCGGTAGAAAGTAGCCCCACACGGTTGCCATAACGAGCTTTCAACGTGTTGTTATAAAATTAAACATTAACATCTTTGACAAATTGAAGATCATGGATGTTCACTCCACAGTAGATCGGCTTATTAAGCACCACTTTTGTTTTAAAAGTTCCACATAACACGTGTTGCATTCTGGAAATGGCCTCACACTTTTAAAATGCGAATAGCCCACAGCCTTTTAAAACTCGGTTTAACCGGCAGCCTTTTACATTTCTCGGCATCGTTGTGGTCCCTGATCAGCTTGGCGCTACAATGTTTACATACATTCTCCATTGTTTTACCCAAAACTGCATTGTTGGCCAATTTAAAAAAGTCTTTTTCAAAGTCTGCAGTTGCTTGTGTCCGCAGCTTGGTATTTTTAGCAATATAGCTTTTCATCCAAGCTGGTTATCTAAATCTTAGCATGCGGTGTACTTTGTTGAGCTTCAGCCCGAGTTGTAAGTACATGTACATGTATAGCTGCTAAATGCAATAGTGCAAAACATATTTTTCTTTTGTTGCGAGCGTCGCTATTAACTTGTTACAGCTTTTGTATTTTTTGTAGAGTAATGTCTTTTGATAATCGCTATACCTTTTTATAGGTATAACCAGGTTTTCTGGTGCAAGAGGGTAATCGTTATGAGAATCATGTAGTACTTGTGGGTACTTGAGGTCCACCTTGAGCATGTACCTGTAGTAATCATCGGTTGCTAAATTTAAGATGTGCTCAGTTGTATAGCGCTCTAGGTATTTTATCCATTTAAAATTTGCCAAAGGTAGTGGCTGAGACATAGCCCACCTATAGAGATTGTTTGCATCAAGGTAGGCAATGTACACGTACATGTAGGTGGATGGTTTTATACCTGGATCAAAATCTTCAATAAATCCATTGTTTACTTTTGCATAGTGTGCACTTCCCACACTAGAGATGCCAGCACGTTTGGCATGTTCAAAAAAAAGCAAATGAACATCAGGGTCTGTAATTAACTCGAGCTGTACACCGGTGTGTTTTAACAAGGCATCCCAAAAAAATCCAGGAGCTCTGTAATAGTTGGCAGGATCGAGACCGTAGTTTTTATAAGACATGTCTCTAAAGTTTTGAAACACATCTGCCAAAAGCAAGTTCTCTGTTTTGACATAAAGGTTGTGATAGTCACAGAGGATTTTACAGTTTAAAGCTTTGCCAGATTTGTTGTTCTTGGGTGTGTTCTAATTCACTGATGCTATTTTGTAAAGCTTTGCCAGACTTGTTCTTGGGTGTATTCTGATTCGCTGATGCTATTTTGTATAGCTTTGCCAGACTTGTTGTGCTTGGGTGTATTCTGATTCACTGACGCTATTTTGTAAAGCTTTGCCAGACTTCTTGTTCTTGGGTGTATTCTGATTCACTGACGCTATTTTGTAAAGTTTTGCCAGACTTGTTGTGTTTGGGTGTATTATGATTTGCTGACGCTATTTTGTAAACTTTGCCAAACTTGTTGTGTTTGGGTGTATTATGATTTGCTGACGCTATTTTGTAAAGCTTTGCCAAACTTGTTGTTCTTGGGTGTATTCTGATTCACTGACGCTTTTTTTGTAAAGCTTTGCCAGACTTGTTGTGTTTGGGTGTATTATGATTTGCTGATGCTGTTTTGTAACGCTTTGCCAGACTTGTTGTTCTTGGTGTATTCTGATTCACTGATGCTATTTTATTTTGCATCAATGTGCTTGAACTTGAGGCAATTTTTGAAGCCCTCAGCCACTTCCGGCCTAGAAATACAAAATAGAAAACAAAGGAAAGAGTTTTATATACAGATGCCACTTGACACCCTGTGCACAAACCCTATGAGAGTGGTTTGAAAATTGTCTTTTCTAGGTAAACGATATGGTATTTTCCCTCATAAATAGAACTTTCCTGGACACATTTTTGCTTTCTGATGGCTATTAATAGAACATTGTAGGGAATAGTTACTGGTGTCTGTATATATGGAACTCTTGCCAAAACAAAAATTTACGGAATTAGCATTTTGCATTCAGACACTTTGTTGTGTTAAGCATACCTGTCCATGTAGGGCCCATTTGATTAGGTTGATCCAGATCCTGATCAGTGATTTGATATCTGTTTACAGACACCAGAACCTGCTTAGTGGCTGGAGTGAACCAGTGTTAAGATTGATCTATTCAAGATCCAGATCCCGTGTGAAACAAAAAGACGCTCACATGGGCATACATTTACAAGTATTTTCGATGTACCGTATGAAGAGGTTGACAGTAAAATTATTAAATGAAGGAGTCTTACACCAGACAAGTATACACATACATGTACGTGTATGTGGCTTGTACGTACGTGTACACGTACCATACCGGTACATGTACGTACATGTACATCTACTACTGTTGTTTCAGTCTGGCAATGACCAGACCATGATGTCATACATTTCAATACACTTCCAAGCCTGTTGCTTGATACATTTCATGCAGTGCAGATGTTTCTTTTAGTTAATTTTTGGCATTTTCCATTTTGACATTTTCTTCCCAGGTGCTATTCACAATTCAGCATGCAGCCTTACATGTACTGTACGTGTACGTCGTGTCTCAAATCATCAATTTGATGTAACTCAAAAATTGTGAAGTTTCTGTGCTCTCTGCAGTTTGGTAAGTCTCTTTCCTATCCTGAACTTGAGAAGCTCAAATTTATGAACAAGGTACCGGTAGGAAACAATTCCATAAACCCACACCACTGATTTTTCCCTGCAGTGATCTACAGTCATCTAAAAGCAAAACCGTGTCATAAAAACCTCAATTTTTTCATTGAAAATATTGTGATCTGTGTGCAACTTTTTATCACATTCGGTTCTTTTGTAATGAATTTTGTGATCCACGTGCAATGGTTTATCACATTTGGTTCTTCTGAAATTGGGATCATTTTGTAATGATGTTTTTGTCCGTTGTACATGTATAAACCCAGCAGCATGAAAACTTGTATTGAGCACCACGCGACCATTCTGAATTAAACTTCCACGCATACAGGTCTGACTAATACACTCAGATCCAGCAGCATAGTGCACAGGAAAATTGACATCTGTTCCGTATTATGTCCTCCATCTTAGATTCAGTAATAACAAGAAATTCACTTTAAAAATTACAAGTGCAAGTGCAATTTTTTGGCTAAACCTGTGCCAAAAACTGAACTTTGACACTTGGAACTTGCTCTGTTAGTGCCGTGTACAGTACAGTAGGGCTGCATTACATGTACATGTACATGACATGTATCAATACATGTAAAGACAATTTGGATAGGAAGATATTGGCACATTGCTCAAGTCTTACAGTAATATTCCTTGTCACAGGGGATAGTTATTTTCATTGGATGTGTTGGCTGAAAGTACATGCAACTGCCACGTTTGATAGACATTTTAGGTATTATTTGACACTTGAAGACCAGGATGCATATTGTACGAAATGTTCCTGTTGGGAACTTTGTCAGTATTCCCCTTCCGGCAAGAGCAAAATTTGAAATAAATGAAATACAATGACTTTTACAAACTGACTGAACTACCAGCCTTATTTTCCTTACAATGTTTATTCAGTATTCATTGTTCTGGTCTTTGGGTTTGTTATCAACATGCAATAAGGCCAAGAGTGTCAGCAGTATCCAATATACATGTACTTGTGTCATGTAAACCTGTCATCGTACTAAAACCTATTCTTTGAATATTTCCTTGCTACATTCTCAGCTCAATTATGCATCTTTTCATAATTCATATAGAAAGTTTAAAGTGTATTTTAAACTTGAAAGTTTCAAGTGGTGAAAGTAAAAGTTTGGTTTTGCAGATTCTCCAGTAAAACAATAGTACCTTCCTGTTTACATGTACCTTTGTTGCATAAAGGGAGAGTCAAAAAAGCACACACGTACATGTAGACAGCCTGAAGTCATTAGAGATTGGCTGAAGATAGTGACAGGCTTAAGTTAGCATTGGTGCTTAAGTTGACAGAGGTAGACTGGCCGATGTCGGCCGAAGTGGATACGCTGACAGTAGAGGTAGACAAGA